AAAGAGTGCGAACCACTAATGTAGGCTAATTGATAAAATATACACACCAATTAAGCTGAAGTCTGAAAATATGTTTCAACTGCTCTGAAAAACTTCAAATGATTCACATCGAACTTCTACAGTTTAACACACTGTAGGTTTTAGATTAGAGAACTGATGTTTGTAAAAGCTCGGGGTCTCTTTCTGCACTTTAGCATAAACCTGTTTTTTCCCCCGTAAAACACACATTTGTCATCGTCAAGCTATAAAGCTTTGGGACATTCGTATCTAAGGTGTCCAAGGACCGTCCTTGCTTGTTTGTTCCAGTTGGCCTGTCTTCTATTGCTAATTTGGACAGTCTGTCTCTGTGCATTGTGTCAACACGGCGAATAAATTCTTTTATGCGTCAAATAGTACCTCGAATCTGACCAACTTGGGAGAAATCGGTACGCCATTGGCCATCGCAAAAGCGAAGCGCATCAAATTAAACACTTATGAATGACAAAGTCAGGAAAATGTTACCCAAGTTCAGGGCTCATGAATGTCGCACGTTTCCCCTTTCATTTGCCTAGAGGGACTGAAAAAGTCCACAAAAACTAAAAATAGATTAGTCTTCTTTTTCAGGGTTCATGAATCTGAACTTTTCCAATTTAGCATCGTTATTAAATTACGAATATTAAACCCAAGACCTCTGGTAGGAAGGGCCCTCTGGACGTGTCACCTCTCCAACAAAAGGTCTCTCTACATTCGCCCGACAATGCAACGCAGAAGAATGTAGACATATTTCCCAACCCCGAGAATAATTCGATCCCATTTTCTGAGCGATTTGAACGCAACCGGTGTGATTCTCATTATACTTTCTAAACTGCCCAGTCCATAAACCTAGCACTGAATGATGAGTTAAGAAATGCGAAGTAGTGTTATAGTTTTTCATACAGTCCCACATTTTACCAGAAGACTCTCAGGTCAACCTCTGTCAGGATAACCTATTTCTGGGCTGGGATTCGAACTCGGGATTTCTCTCATACAAAGCAGATAACAGCGGCATCGATTCCGTATCCCATTCGAGGTTACATAACCAGTGCAGGAGGTACAGAGTTATAAAACAGCCTAACACCAACGCCGTTAAGATGTAGCTAATGGTAAGCAGGTGGCAACAAACAGAACTCGCCTTCGCAGTGACCCACTTGGCTTCCTCAGGCTTCGACAAGTGAATGGCGGGAGGGGTTTCCCTTAAATCTCTGAACCGTGGGATGACAACGCCTTGTTGGAAGTCAGTGATCTCCAAACTGGTGTTGCAAAGCGCCAAGAACCCTCGAGCTCAAAGAGTGGGCTTCTTGATACAGGGGAAATCGAGGCAGCGGTGACTCTAGATGTCAGCTTCGAATCATACCGGCTGTGGCCTATCTTAACAAGTTTCTTTGGGGGTTACTGCATTCTCTAGAAATGTTTCCGAGAGCGTACCTTCGAATAGTCCACGACCACATTCTTCAAATTGTTAGTTGCTAAATATTCATGATTCTTCTCACCTCATTCAACGCAATTGCAATCTACACAATTCATACAGGGTGATTAAAAACTGAACACTTTATTTTTTCGGTTTGTCAGCCCATTGTACACAAGCAGGGAAATTGAACTGTACAGTGCGTTTAAGGTCTTTTTCTCCATGCCGCCGAATGTTTGGGTTGAACCTACTATGCGTTCTTTGTCCAACTGCATAGCGAGAACGCATCACGCATTGTTCGTATCTGTCTCTCCGTCCAGTCGATTCAATTTTAGAAGCACTGGACGGATATGGATGAAATTTGATGTGGAGGTTTTGATGTTCTGGACGACCTAAAAATCGTGCCGGTGATAACAAAATGACAGATGAGGAAAATTGTGAGGTGCTGCGGTCTGGTGGCCAAAGTGGGAAATAACGAACAAGGCAGATTTAATGCCTTTAAATTCACGTTTCGAAGAACGCACGAGGAAACTGTGTTTTCCCGGACGAAATGCGCTTTCCGAGCTTGTATTAATTAAAGACAGTCAGCTGACGAATAATATATTTTTTACATTTTTATTCCAAGCTCGCTCGTTTATTTTTGAGCCAAAATTTATCGTGATATTTTCTTTTTATTCGTCTTCCTTTCCCTTTACCCTATCCTTTATTTTTGAATTCCTTTCTGTTCGTCCTGGTTCCATTTTTGTAGAAGCACGCAAGCAGTTACTGTACAGGTACAACAGTCGTTCTCTTGTTAACATAATGGCTCTGAAGAGTGAAGGCCAGGCAATTAAGGTAATTTTGTGAGTCAATTTTCTTTACTTTCACACAGAGACGCACTTCCTTCGAGTAACCTTCGTCCGTCATCACAACCCCGTAGCAAAGAATTTCCTCTTCTCTCCTCAGGGTAATTTTAAGACGACATCGTGACAGATGGACAGGACGATAACGCGAAGTACATTTCTGAATTTTGTAACTACAAATAAAAGACATTTAGCGCATATGGACATATTTTAAGCTAGATAATCCTGTGTTATTCTTAGCGGCACTGAGTAAAAAGTGTGCTTGGACAAATTTAAAATAAAAGAGTTACGTATATTTTAAACTCTATAAAATATGCTACTTACTTTTTGGTTCAGCGTGTTCGATATTTTTGGTGGTTCATAGTAACATATTTTCTGCATTTATTTTGCTAACGATAAACCATTTTGCCCTTTCTGTAGTGGATTACCCAACCCGCCCGCCCACTGTGACACCAACTCAGGTAACAGTCAAGGAACTGTGCAGTTACATAAATCGAGCCCACACACCCCGACGAGAACCAAACCAGACAAGCAACACACAAGAAACTTCCGCGTCAACATTTACTCCGTAACCGAAATGAACCCGAAGCAGTGTTCCTCCAGACTCGTCACAATCAAGACGTCATGAACACTTCGGTAAGCCACCATCCTTATTACAATATTTTGACATTTAATCAAAATTAAATAACGTGCCAGGAACGCCGATTTGTATTCGAGAGGTTCTGAGTTCGAATCTCGGTCGACTTACTGGCTATCTCGACTGATATTGTCCACACATATTCCATTAAATTGCTAGTTCATTCGTACAGAACACAACCGTCTCTGGATACAGCTTTAGGCTACATACAATTCATGATCATCTTTCCATATAATTAGATGTTATATAATTTACAACTTATTCAGTTGAAACAGCATCGTTGCAAAGAAACGTAAACTTGTACGTAAAATTTAAACTATGTATGTATGCACGCTCGTTTATAGCTCGCAAAGGGATCTATTAATTTTCTGAAATTACTGATGATAAAATAAGATAAATTCGGGCAACAAAGTTTGTCCGGCGAGATTACAGTAACAAACACTACAACCCCGAAAAAGTGTCCTGGGTTCGAGTTGTGGTAAGATAGTTTTCTTTATATTGAAAAATAATTGTGGTAGATGATTGTATGAAGACAAATTACAGATAAAAACAGTTCTTACAATACCATTGTTCTTTTCAGGGAGAAGAAACCCCAAAAAATCACAAATAATTAATTCTGATATTTTCTTATCTTGAACATCATCATTAAAAGACTGTAAATATAATTTTTTATTCCAAAAGACCCCCTAGATTCTAATAAGTAAGTTCATAAATGAAACTTTCGCGTGGATATTTAATTAAATTATTTTCTCAGTTTGCAGTTGCATAATACACAACAAAACTTAATAAATTCATGGTGGAAATAACTTGTGGAGTGAAAACGAGCCCAAAAGCTATTTATATTCATACAGAATGACTGGGTAAAATGTTGACAGATATCTTTGAAACTATTTACCGCAAATGACTGTATAAAGACAATTATTGTTTGGTTATGGATAATGATTTAATCCCATGATATTCAACGATACGTGTCGTATAATCTTTCGGGCAAAAATTATTAATAACAAAATTTAAGCGTTTGTCGAATTTCCCCGTAGATACACTGCGGGTATTCTGTTAGTCTTGTACTTAAACTTAATATATGGGTTCGTTTGTACGTATGTTCATTTGCAGCTCGAAAATGATCTGTGCCTTTAAACCATGATTACAGAAATGTAAAAGCTTCTAAAATGGCTCGAGTTGTTGTAAGTCTGAAATTAAGGACGACACGACAACGGCACCAAGACCAAAATTGTTTCGGCTAGGAGATTACAAGAACAAAGGTCACAAACCCGAAAAATACTGTCCTTGGTTTGAATCCCGGTGAAGACGTTTTCTGTACCTTGGACGCCAATGATGATGGGTGGGGTATCTAGCGCGCATAGGGACATGAGAATTC